AGGGAAATGGGGTACATTTTTGAGATCTCTTATAAAAGTTCGAACACCGATGCCCTGGTATGGGAATCATAAAATATGCAGTTGAAAAGAAGTACAAAAGTATAGTACTTTAACTATACTTTAATCTTTAAACTTGCACTTAAAAAATATCTTAAGTAGATTTCATGCTAGAATACATTGTTGGAGTAGCACTATTAGATGCTGTAAAGAACCTTAAATTCCACTGAGTATTACTGAAAAGGGGTAAGAAACTTATTAGTAGGACTTGCTTCTCACACACATTCCCAAAGCTATAGAAACTCTGTCTCACCCGAAGTTTCAAGATTAAAGGAAACTTAGGTCTCCAGGAACACTCAATTTGTTGTCACAATGAAAGCTGAGTAGAGATCACTCAGTCACTTCCTGTAAAACAGTGAATCAGGTCAAGATGAACCACTGGTCTAGGATCACTACTGGAAACATAAATCAACTAACTGTCAATATTAGAAACAGGTTGATTTAATGTAAAAAAGAAAACAGAAAATTGCTAAAAGATGGGGACTACAGAATAGTCAACAGAAAAAGAGGGGGAAAAAATCTTCCCCTCCCCCAAAAATCTAGAAGGATATCTTATTCTGATATATTTATGAATTTCATCTCATGTGTTAATGTGCATTAAAGTTAGCTTGGTACAGTAAATTGAAATAAAAAATTTCTCTTTTAAGTCAATAAACAAAAATATTAGAGGGAAATACTGCTGAAGAGTAGAAAAATAAGACAAACTTCTTAGTGTTCCTAAAATTAGTCTCATAGGGAAGTGAACTTGTTCTTGAGAGAAGATGGATGTTTCCGGTATTTGTAAACTGATTTATGATACTGCAAACAATAACAGAAAACATTCTTAATGAATTAGGTGGGTAAACCTGGCAGAAGACTGTAACCCTTCAAAGTATTTATAAGAAAAAATGTAGACTGAGTTTTTAATCCAGTTATAATTATGCAGTTTTAGAGATAAGGTTGCTTCTAAAGAAATAAAAATATATAAAGAACTGATCCTAAACAATTAAATAAAATTGGCTCACTTGCAGGCTCTTATGGCATCTTCTCTAGAGTAGGTTTACTATACAGTTAAACCTACTATCACTCTTTTCATCAAGAGGTTGAGAAAAAAATTAAAAAGGTCAAGAGAAATCTGAAATAACCTGGATGTGATGATTAATTCTGGGTGTCGACTTGTCTTGATTAAGGATTACAGAAACCCGTGGGGTGTGTTGTGAGGTTGCTTTCAGAGGAGATTAGCATGTGAGTCTAAGTGGCCTAAGTGGGGAACATTCACCTTCTCAGTGCGGACAGGCACCATCCAATGTGCTGAGGATCAAAAACAGAGAAAAGGTGAATGTGTGGATCTATCTACTGGAACTGGGATACAGTCTTCTGTCCTAAGACAACAGTTTCAGACTCCTGGTCTTTGTACGTTTGCAGCTTCCCGGGTTCTGAGGCCATTGGCCTTGGAGTGAGAGTTGTATCCACAGCTTCCTTAGTTCTGTGGCCTTTGGACTTGGACTGAGAACCATGCTGCCAGCCTCCCAAGGTCTCCAGATTGCAGAAGGCCTGTTGCAGGACTTAGCCTCCATAACTGTGTGAGCCAATCGCCCAGTAAGAGCCCTCTCACATATCTATCAATATATCACCTACATCTTCTATATCTATATCTATATCTATATCTATATCTATATCTATATTTATATTTATATCTATATCTATATCATCTGTATCTATGTCTTCTATTGATTCTGTGACTCTGGAGAACACTGAGTAATATACTGAGGTATTAGAATATGTAAATGTTTGTGCATACACACAAATATACAAACTTGTTCAAACTTTTTAAATCAAATGATACATATTTCAAATGGAATAAAAATGTCTAAATTGACATCTCTTTAGTGAGATCTTACAAGAACAATGAGCAAAATGTGAGAATATTATCTTTCCTGTCATTTAACATATCCATCAAATGAAAAAAAGTTGCCCAGCTCTAACTTTTAACTTATCGATCGAATCCACCCAGCAGATTTGCCTAACCCATCTGATGTGGTGGATTCCTTTGCTAAAATTGGACCAATATAATGCCTTTTGTATTCATACATGAAACAAATATTTTAAAGGCATACTTAATTGTGGACTATAATACACTACTGTCTACTACTCCATCAATATATACATTGTTTTCTAAGGTCTGGAACAACAACAGTGGTACAAAACGTCTAAGAAAGTACAAATCAGGATGAAGAATGTAAGTTAGTATGTTTATTTCTCCAAGGTATCAAGATATCATTTAAAAAAGAAAAAATCAAAATACTAAATGAGTGTTTTCAAATATCAAATAAGATAACCTAGAAAATTATTTTGTGAGTCTTCAATTATATATGCATTTTTAATTAAAAGAAATCTTATATTATTTGTTATACATTTCAGGTGCCTTTCGTGATAGCAGATTCTATATTTACTAGTCTTCATCCTTGCCCTGTGATTCCAAGAAAAAGGAGGCAGTAGGAAGGAGGAGGAAAGGGAAGAAAAAACATTCTAAAATGAAATATGGCAATGATTTATGTGGTGGGAAAAACGAGTCTGTTCTACATTTTTAATTTCCTATTTCTACATATGCCACTACATCAGAGCTTCCCATAATTGTTTGAACAATCTCGCAGTCGACTAAATAATTCAAATATATTGTTACTTTCATAACTATTGTTTATAAAACTTCTCCAAATTCACAATTTATAAAATACGTTTCACAACTATGCTTTTAGTTAACGAATATACTAGAAGCTGTGAAAATGAGTTTCTTTAAGGTTATCAGTCTTGCTCAGTACTTATTTGTTGCCTGAAAGGGTTTTGACTGTCACTTTCATTTATCTGCACCCTATAAAGAAGACAAATAAACATATATAATATCTCAACATTTCAATGTTTCCCTCAAATTACTTTTAGTGTGACTTTATTTCTTTAGGGACTTTTTTTTCCCCCACTATGAAATAGTGGAGGCTGGCCATTTAACGCTAATAGAAATTCTAAGCTTTTAAAATTCTCATACTCCACAAAAGTTCTATTGATAGTCAGAAAACTGCTTCTTATTTTAACTTTACCAGTTTCTAATTGTGTGATCTTGGGCATACTGTTGAACTTGGCCTTTGCTCTCTGGAACATAGTTTCTATAGTCATAGAAATTCTAGAACATATAATTTTAAGTGCTTTTCATTAAAAAATGTTCTGACTTATAAATTATAGTGCTTCATGCTCTCAAGCAAGAATCCATCCATTTCAACTTTTTGTCATTATGACAGGACTTAAAATCCACATTGTGAACATAGTGGTCATAATGGTGGAATAATTCCTAAGAAAGTACTGAAGGTGCTGGCTAATCTAATTGGCCAGAACACAGTTTACTAAGCCTTTCACACATTTACAATATGAGTTTAAATGTGTTTTTGTCATTCTGTTTAACAAGGGACTTATTTCAGTATCATACAAATTATAAAATCTAAAACGATTGGTTTACTTATCAAACTGCAGTGAAATCAAGTAACTACCACATTGCTGATTATGGAATTACTTTACTTAGAATAAGAAAGTGCAATACCAATATTAATACCTATGTTTTGATAATGAATAAAATTTTAAATACAGATAACCAGGTACCATCAACTAAAAAGTCAGTGTACTTTGACTGAACAACATGAAGTTCAATGAACAGTTGTAAACCATTGAAATGAATAACCACACTTTAGCTCTGAATGGATTATAACATGTTAGAAATGTGCTGATCACAATTACAGTTAAGGAAGGAAAAGATCCCTGGCTGGAACATCTCACGGAGCTTCCACTGTCTCACTGAAACTGTCTACAGGTTATTAAAATCCCAGGTGGAATAAGAAAGAAGGAACAGTGAGTGATAGGTCTGTTAAATCCATCGAAACGAACTATGCCTGACTCATTTAGATAAAATGGGAGAAATGTGGTTGGCAAAGCAGTGAAAACATGATTAACAAAAGAGTGAAATAATTTTGACACATTTGCTTCCTGTCATTTATGATATTTACACTTAATAAAATATGTTGGATCTCAAGATATAACTTTAAGAGAATCATGAATTTCTCTCCAGATCAGCATAGTGCAAAGCTAACAGTTGCCTTCAGATGGATGATGTTACACGGGTTGGATTCACAGTTACATGAATCAGATTCCTTGATAGTCATAGTAAGTGAGTATTGAGCATTTACTATGTGCCCTGACATTATGCTAAGGCTCTTTATCCATGATTTCCTTTAATCCTCAGCAATTTGCATATGAAATAAGTGCTGTTCAGAAAGTAAAGCGTCAGAGGGGAAACAAAGCTGAACTTTTGTCAAAGTTTATGACACCAGCAAGTGGTGGAAACAAGACATCACTGGAAACGTTTTTTCTTTGTGTTACCAATACAGCTGCTTCCTTCTGTATTGACGCCCCTTATCATTGCAAATTTCCATATAATAAAAACATGGAGGTCCTACAGCCTTCAGCCTTGTTTCCTCCAAGCAAAGCCACAGGTAAATTGACTTGAACACCGAATTATCGACCCTATGCTCCACCTTTATCACACATGGCTCTCGGGTATACAATAAAAAAGTTCCCTCTGGCACTCCTTCTCTTAACTGAAAACCTAGGTACCTTTCTGCTTCGGTTCCCTGCCCCTACACAGTTAAGAACACTTAGAGACACATTTTAACATTAACATCGAGAGAAAATGAAACCTTCATCGACAATAATTTCTTCTCAGTATAAGATGAAAATAACTGTTAGCTTGCTTAGATTGAATCTCCCTGACACAGTAGGGCCTGTGACTAACAGACACCGTTTGCAAGATTCACATGGCAGTAATTTTTATTTTGGAGGTCATTTCAGTTAGGTATTTAAGGATAAGAAACAGAATAATATATATAGTTTTAAATTATAAGTATATTGAAATTATGATTTCTGACCTGGATCTGTTGCTGGAGCAAATTGATTTTGTGTTGTTGCTGCAGAAGCTGCTGCTGTTGTCTTGCAATCTGTGGAGAAATTGCACATAAGAAATTTACAAGTATATTGTAGTCCCAGAGGGAAGTTACTAATGTTCTGTTTCCTATTCCCACTGTTGTTTGCACTTATAATGCCCTCTACATTTACTTAATATTATGCCCATGCTATAACTTTGTATTTGTTTATTTATTTGTTATTCACATCTTTCTGTCTCCTAAGGAGAAGTCTATAAATTCAGTGATGGTAAAGGCCATGTAAATTTTATTCACTATTCACAGGAAGTCCGTTATAAAGGAATGCTGAATGGATATCTGATAAGAATGCATTAATAGATGATATGAAAATTGTAAACATTTCATCACATGGGATAAGATGTAACTTCTAACATCTTGAAACTTATCACTCTCTTATAAGTAAGTTCTAGATCTCATTCTCATCAAGTAATAATTGCCATTATTTTCATTTAAAAATATCTTAGCCTCTCTATCGAAAAGTAAAAAATACAGGAAAAAACTGATACATCACCATGAATAAAAGTAAAGAACCCATGTGATGAGGATGAGTCTACATGGCTATACAAAAAAAATTTTATCTCCTTTATGGATGTTGGTATAATTATTTTAATACTTAAATTTTATCTTGGGAATATGGTAAAAAAGGTTTTTTTCCTTCTTTTTTTTTTTTTTGAGATATATTTTTATTTTGTTGCCCAGGCTGGAGTACAATGGTGTGGCCTACGCCCACTGCAACCTCCTCCTCCCAGGTTCAAGTGATCCTCCTGCCTCGGCCTCCTGAATAACTGGGATTACGGGTGCCCACCACCATGCCCAGCTAATATTTTTGTATTTTACTAGAGACAGAGTTTCACCATGTTGGCCAGGCTGGTCTTGAACTCCTGACTTCAGGTAACCCACTCACCTCAGCCTCCCAAAGTGCTGAGATTACAGGCATGAGCCACCATGCCTGACTCACAATTTTTTTTTCCTGAAGAAAGTGATAAAGGAGGCAGTAGAAGAAGGAAGATCATATTTTCCATTAAGTCTCATTCCTTCCTCCCACATGTCAATATTTCAAATGCCATTTAAATACTTTTAACAAAACTTTCAGAATACTCCATAACCTGACTACTTAAACCTCCTGTGCACTTTCTTCTGTTCACTGTGCCTTTGTCTGGACTGTTGTAATGGCTTCCATATGCTCTTTGTGCTTTTGCTCCTGCTCCCTGAGTCTATCATAGACCAGCATCCTGAGAGTACTTCTTAAAATATAAGTCCACTTTGGGCATCCAAGGAGGGTGGATCACAAGGTCAGGAGTTCAAGACCAGCTTGGCCAACATAGTGAAACCAAAAAATTAGCCAGGCATGGTGGCACATGCCTATAGTCCCAGCTATTCAGGAGGCTGAGGCAGGAGAATCACTTGAACCTGGGAGGAGGAGGTTGCAGTGAGCATAGATCACACCATTGCACTCCAGCCCAGGTGACAGTAAGAGATTCTGTCTCAAAAAAAGAAAAAAATAAAATATATGTATATACACATATATATGTGTGTGTGTGTGTGTGTGTGTGTGTGTCTGTGTGTGTGTGTGGGTGTGTGTGTGTGATGTTATGCTATTCACCTTTCCAAAACTCTTCTCTAACTCAGCAAAAAGGCCGGTGTGCATATAATGCCTTCAAGGCCCTATATGATTTGGCCCCCTTTTACCTCTCTGATTTCATCTCAACCCCCATTCCCCTTGTCATCCCACACCTGCCACATTGCATTCCTAACTGCCTCTTTTACATACCAAGCATGCTCCTTGAAGGATATTCCTGCTTCTGGGCCTTTGCATTTACTTTTTCCTCTGTCTGAAATACTCTGCCTAGATAGCCCCATGGCTCACTCCCATACATCCTACAGGTTTCTACTCAAATGTTCTTAGTCAGTAATGTCTTCCCTGAGCACCCATTTTAAAAGAACATATACCCACAGATAATACCCTTATCCCCAATGCCCCAATTAATTTTTCAACACAGTACTTATCAATATATAGTTTACCAGTTTATTTATTGTCTACCCCTCTCAGGTAGATTTCAATACACAAGGAGTTTTTGTCTGTTTTATTCCCCATTCTATTCCCACTAACTAGAACAAAACCTGGCATCAAATTGGTGGTCAATGAATATTTGTCTAATAGATGAATGTGGGCTGGAGCTCAGAATCTGGGGGAAAGGCTCATCAGTAAACAGGTCCTCTGGCATTTGTAACAGCTATATCAGGAGTATTAGAATGCACAGAATGGGAACATTTGACACTCAGTAGGGAGTGCTGGAAGGAGTATCAGAAAAAGGCTTTAGAGGAGAAGATGCACCTGCCCTGACCCTTAAAGAATAAGTACTAAATGCCCTTCATAGAAGAATATGCTACCGCAGAGTGGTAACTGTGCATACGTGCTATGTATGGTGGGGAAGCACTGGGAGAGCTGAATGGGCTCTAGATACATGACCTGTGGCTATCACCAGGGATCTTCTCCCAGGCTGTGGAGGCAGCACCACAGGACATCTCTCAGACACAGGAGAGAAATTCTTGAAGAACTTAGGGGTTTGTAAAGTCCCAAGCAAAATGTCAGAGGTCTTGGGAAACTATTAGAATCAAAGGATTCTAGAATCCTTTCATGATATTAGGAGGTGGGCCAAAATGTAAAAGAGAAAAGAAAGAAACTTACTCTCCATCAGTTATTGCTTAGATCTTTCAGGACATGTGTGTCCTCAGACCCACCAAAGCAAATAGAGATTATCTACAAAAAATATCCCCAGCCAAGCTATATATTCGGAGACTCCTAGGATTCTCCAGAATTCAGTTGACTGAAAGATTCAGAGTTAAGGACAAGGAAAGAGCAGTATTGTTTTATACTGTTATTGGCAAGCATTCCAAACTCTTCTATCATTGGGGTAAAGCAAGAGGCATATGGGACATATCCAAAAACAAGCCAACAATATATTTAATGAAAGTGATGAGGCACTTCATTAAAAATAAAACTAACAACTTTTAATCAGAGATAAACCATAAACCACCAAGCAGAGAAGAGTAAAAGGAAAATAAGGGGATGGAAAAAAGGAGCTCCTCAAACATAAACTGAGTATTTCTTCATGTCATTCACCCTGCTAGCTTGTACTTGGAAAGATGTTTAGAAGGTTTTGCTGGGATATGTAGACGTGCAAATATTAAACCATGGCCATCCTCTACTTGGGATGGTCAGTGGAATATGTCTAGAACATGGACCAGGAAAAGAACTTAGCCATGAAAATGAGAGCCATACTTCTACACAAACTGATACTATGACACCTCCCCTCTATCTTACCTTCCATTTACTACCAATTTCTTTAATAGTTCATAGGCATTGCCTCCATTTTCCTACTACACATTTTCCAGTTCTTATTATCTGATTTTAGCTACTAAAACGCCATAGAATCCTCATTCTTCAAGGCTGACAATGAAAATCTAAATGACAAATCTTGTTTCAATTTGATTATTAGAATGACTATTTTTCTGTAGCATTTAATACTGCTCCCTATTATCTCTTAAAATCTCCATTTTGTTTCCTATAACATTGCACTCCTGGCCCCAATTCCATATATGTTTCTTTCTGCATATGTTCATATTCCTTTCTCTGCCAGATATATATGCCAGTATCTCTCAAAGACCTACCTTTAGTTCCTTTCTGCTTTCCTGTAATATTAGCATTGTAATTTAAGGCCTATAAGCCTGCCACACCTCTGCATAAAACACTCCTGTCCCTGATATTAACATGGCTGCCTCTTATATATCATTTAGATCTGAGCTTAACTGCCAAAGCTTCAGAAAGATCCAGCTGCCCGATCTAAGGAGCCAATGCTCCTTGTCATAGCAATCAACATCTATCTTATCACTCTGTTTATATTTTTTCAAATTATTTATCACTATATAATGTCATCTTGTTAATTTGTCTGTTCCTTTATCTGTCTCTCTCTTTCCACTAAAATTTAGGGGCTTTGTCTCTCTGGTTAACTGAGACAGCCTCAACAATTAGTTAGTACAGTGCCTGGCACATAGGAAGCCCTAGATTACTATTTGTCAAATGAATGAATGAATGTTATCTCCTCCAGCAGTTTAAAGCACCATTTCTCTGTAAATAACCTAAGAAACAACTGAGCTCTCTTCCAAAGTATATTTCTAGCTGTCTCTCACATACCTCCAACTGGACAACCTGACAGCATCTTTAATTCAACATCATAAAACCACTTTCTTTTCCAAACTTCTCCTGACTGCCTCTGTTTCTAGTGACGGTATTCTCAATCTCCCCATTATTAGGCTCAACAGTTTTCCTTTCCCTTTGGCCTACTCAAAGAATTCTTCTAACCATAACTCATCGACCTGTTTATTCCTCTTTTCTCTTTGTCCATGGTTACCCTGACTAATTTAGATTCTCACCCTTTTTAATTTAAAGTATTATAATAGCCTTGTAACTGAACTTCCTGCCCCCAACTGGAAACTCGCTTTACTTGTTGAAGCCTACCAGTTCTTCAAAGCACATCTCAAATGTCAGCTGTCTAATGAATTCATTAAAAATGTTTCTTGTTGAAAATGTTCTCTTGACTCTCCATGGCTCTTTTTTGGTATTTTTCTCATGATTTATCAGAATTTACCTTGATTATAATTACTTCTAGGCTATTTACCACCAAAGTAGTTAATAAGCATCTTAAAATATGGGTTTTATCTGTGAGTGGGTTGGTTTTTTTTTTTTTTTTTTTCTTTTAATTTATTTAACTAGGGAGGTGGAAGGGACTCTTATTCATTGTTGTGTACCCAGTACAATTACCTGTAAGTAGCAGGCAAGGCAATGTCTGAATAATTTGATTGCATCGCTAGTTCTAACTCACCTGTTCTTGCTGCTGCTTGGCAAGCTCCATTTGCTGACGCTGTTTCTCAATCTGAGAGGCAGCTAGTTTCTTCTGCTCATCGTGGGCAGCCAAGAGCTGCTCTCGCAGACTGGTCAGCTGGTTGATCATACCCATGAGTTGCCTTTCTTTCTCAGCTAAGCTCTCGGGAGTCCCTAAAAATAATATGGCAATAAAACAGACAAGATAAATGAGAAAAAGTGATTATTTCAATGAAAACGACTCTGTCGTATGCAGAGCTAGTCCAAATATAAAGTTCAATAAACACAAAAACATTACCTGCCTTCTTTTAGATTTTCAATCAACAGTAAAAAGTGATGGCAATTTACTGATTACAAAGTACCACAATGAACCTGGCTCTCTGGCACAATAGACAGAGCACTGGACTTCTAACAAAGTACCAGAATGAGCAAACATTTTGAATGTTTTTACATTTATGACTAGTAATAATCTATAGTTTTTAAAAAATTTTACTTTATAAGTAAATTTTTAAAATGTTGGCTGAGCATCTACTGTTTTTAATGTTCTATGCTAGGGCCTGCTGGAAATAAAACAATGTCCAAAGTACAGTTCTTGGCCTTAAATATAATAGTTTTTCATCTAATTAAAGAAGCAAGACAAAGATATAAAAAATTAATAGCTATAGTTATTAAGAGGTCAGTGTATTAGTATTAGTGATATTATTCTCCCTTTCTTAAAAAAAAAAGAAACGTAAGGATTCAGAACTAAGGAATTCTATGTTATAAGACAGCAAATATCTATTTAGCCAATCAAGTTTTAGACTGTATTCTCCATATGCCAATTCAGAGTCTATCTTCGAAAATAAAATATAGTTAACTGAGCAAATATTCAAGTTTGAGAACAAAAATATACCAATTATGAGACAATGTGGTTAGCAAATTGGCATCATACTATCATCGCGTAAGCTTATGCATAAATCCAAGATTTGGAGAAGTCGTGGTAATCATTTAATATTATATTCAATTTATTTAAAACATGCCAATGAATCTTATTAAAATTTGTAAAAAAAAAATTTGTATTTAATATAAGGGAAATGTGTGCTGTTCACTGAAACAGAAACAGTATCACTTTTAATTGTTCTTTTAAAACACAATATAGACAAAGCCCCTATGATAAAGTACCACCAGTAGGAGAGAACACCCTCTTTAATTACAATTCTCACTTCAAACAAAAGACACTAAACACTATTTTACTCCTGCATTTGCCACCTGTATACATAATTAGATAGAAAGAACCATTATAACTTAGTCACCCTTCTTAACCCCAGTGCATTTCTCCTACCAACTTAGGCTAAAAGAGTTTGTCCTATTTTAGGAAGTTGCAGCTATAGTGAGTTGCTTATAATTTTTATACACCCATTTGGAATAGAAATAAGGGTTCTAATGTATTTTACATATAGACTAGAGAACAAATATCCAGAAAAGAAAATGTGTGAATAAGGCAGTAACCATTTCTCATACCCTTTCTTATTAACAATGCCTATCCTTATTCAAGGCAGATGGTCTATAATGTGCTGCTAATAATTTATTATACCTCAGACAGTTGGATTCCATTAGAATGAATGAACATTAACTCCATGAATAATAGCCACATGACTATTATATCCTAATATTAAATAATATAAATATATCCTGGGAAGATTTTCTTAATGAAAATATTCATATGCTAGCAAGATAAACATCTTCCTACATTGTTAGTAGAGCAGTAAATTTCTACCACATTTCAAGAAATACACAGTAGGAATAGCAATACACATCATGTCTTAGAATGCACGTAACCTACAAAGGATAATTCTGCTTTTAGAAATCTAGCCCAAGCCTGGGTGCAGGGGCTTATGCCTGTAATTCCAATGTTTTGGGAGGTGTAGCAGAAGGATTGTTTGAGGCCAAGAGTTCAAGACCAGCCTGGAAAATACAGCAAGACTCTATCTCTACAAATTTTTTTTTTAATTAGTTGAGCATGGTGGTACGCTCCTGTAATCCTAGCTACTGGAAGGCTGAGGTGGGAGGATCACTTGAACTCAGGAATTGTATTTCACCTCAACATGCGAAAGTATGACTTAAAAGCTTAAGCAAATCAGTGCATATTCAACACCTACAACTGGTCCTGCAGAACCCAATTACGTCAGCTCTCTACAGAGGGGTTTCACATTCTACGAATACTATATTTTGGATCTATGTTTAGCTGGGAAAAAAAAACCAGATGTAAGTGGAACTGTGGAATTCTAACCTGTACGTTCAAGAGTCAGCTATATATATTTGGTGATGAGAATTAACAAATATCATTTTGTTATTAAGTATGTGAAAGTTTAACAAAATTTTTGTGTTTTCACTTAGTCATAAAGATGTAAATAAGATTTATTTCAAACTTGAAACAAAATTTCTAATTTTATAGTACACATTCATTGCAAGCTTTCTGAACCTTCAGCCCATCTTGTTGCATCTTAAGCATTTTACATGACTTCCCAGACACAATTTCATTCCATTTCAACTCCTACTTAGCTAACCTTTTCTTCTCAACCTTTTTCACTGACTCCTCTTCTGCCACCCATAAATGCCCATATTCTTCCCAGTCTCATTGTTTACATTTTCTGGCCTTGAACTAACATGCTTTAACCTCTAAGCACTATATTTCAGCAACGCTTTGCATATTTTAACCTACTGAGTTCTAAAATACGTAGTCTCATAGTCAATGAAATAATATATGTGCCAACCCAAAGATTGTCCCCCAGCCCTAGTAACCTATATTTAGATGCAGAATAGGGTATCTCTGAGGGTGTATCTCAGTCATAAAATTCAACAAGCAGAGTGAAACTCACCATTTTCCTGTAATTTTAAAGCATTATCACCAATCAGCATTCTAAAATATTTAAGAACATCTTCAATTTCCTTAGCAACTACCCATCCCTCCAATGATCATATTAACCAATCACAGTAATTTTTTCTCAAAATAGGTTTGTTTTTCCTTTTAGTTAAAATTATATTTTTCAATATTATGTTCATATTAGTAAATACTGATGATGAAGGAATATAGTAAAAGATCTCCTCCCAACACTGTCCCTTCAAAAGTAACCACTATTATTACTCTTTGGTGTGTCTTATTCTTGTTACACCGACTTAAGCATATACAATAATATTTCTCTATTAGTTTGACAGGGCTGCCATAACAAAGTACCACACACTGGGTGGTTTAAACTACAGAAATTGCCTTACAGTTCTGCATGCTAGAACTCTAAGATTAAGTTGTTGGCAGGGTTGATCTGTTCCAGGACTCTTTCCTTGGCTTGTAGGTGTCTTTATTCTGTGTTCACATTGTCTCTCAGCCTGTACATATCTATGTCCAAATTTCCTCTTCTTATAAGGATATCAGTCATCTTGGATTAGGACCCACCTAATAAGCTCATTTTAATTTAATACCCTTTGTAAAGATCCTATCTTCAAATACGTTCCTATTCTTAGGTTCTAGGCATTAGGACTTCAGCATGTGAATTAGGGTTGGTAGACAGGGGGAAGGTGCATAGTTCAGCCCATAAGAATGCCTTTTACACAAATGACAACATAACATAAATACTGCTGTACTGACTTAAAAAGAGCTCTTGTTCCAGCCTCCCTTCTCTATCTTCACTGCCATTTTTGTCATCTTTTTTCATGAATTTCTGTAGCAAATTTTTAAAATAGAACTTTTAAAACAGAACTTCCTGTCACCAATTGATCTCTGTACAAATGTATCTTCTAAAACTGGTACCAAAATTGCCTTCCTAGATAACAAAGTGATGTCATGTCAAAGTCTAGTCCTGTCACTTCCCCTGTTTAAAGACCTCAATTGCTCCCCACTGGCTTCAGAAAAAATTGTCAAGTCATTATTATGAATTAATGAGGTCCTTCAAAATATTACCTAATCTTCCCACTTCCTCTGTGCATCCTAAATTCTAGCCAAACTGAATGTTCTAACATTACCCCACCACTCCACCACTCTAAGCACTTGCACATGCCATCTTGAACGAGTGCCTTGCCTGGGCCAGTCTCTCCCTAAACATTCATTCTTCATGTTCCAGCTCACGCATCTTGTTTTTTGTGGCTCTTTTCCTGATTTCCACGTATAACAGTTGTTCTCTTCTTTGGGAATCTATACAGCATATGTGTAGATCTTTATTATAGTATTAATTTATTGCATTGTATTAACTTATGTTCACATTTTTCTCTCAAAGTCAGGAGAGATAGCTGCAATAGCAGCAACTATAAATGATGGACTTTTCTATTCTCATTACCTACTATAGGTAGCGGCAAATAGCATATGCACTGAGTATAGAAATCATCTAATACTGTTTAATGAATGACATAAAGAATAAAGCCCCTACCCTTTAAGCCATTCTCAAATTTAAACATGCATAGGGATTCTAGTTTTGGCTTAAGAGAGTTGAGCCAAAAAAAAAAAATACACTTTTGTGAAAGAAATCCTTATTTTTATGAAAGTACCAAACTGAGATGAGGAAGTCCATCCCATGGCTTCATCTCTAAATTATCACGTTCTTCACAGTCATCCCCAAGTGGTTAGAGAGGAGTTAATAAGTGGTCTGTGAACAATGGAGAAAAGTAGCAAGAGTCATAAGATATCCGTGACGTTAAAAAAGTGAAAATAATATGAACTAGATCCTTAGAATATTCCAGAGGTCTCCCAGCAAAAAGAGGAGCTACTCTTTATTCACCTAAATTCAGGTTTTTAAGAGTCATAACTAATACATATGTATGTCTATACAGTGTATAACCCTATGGAGACACAGTCATGTATATATGAACTTGTTCCATCTGAGTCAGAGAGCTAATGCCATGAGTTCACTTATGTGTGACTGATGGTAATTTATTTTCATGTTTCAGTTACTTGGATTCTTGTATGTTTTGCTAGTTCTAAGCTAGTTCTGTTCCAATCCTCTTAGAATGAGAGATTACTGAAGACACAAAATTATTGTTTCAGTCTTCCTCCTGCCTAAAAACTGCAGGCATGGCAGTCATTTATACTTCTGTATTCCATAGAAGCAGTACAGGTCAGATTCCTTAATATAATGAGACAAAGTCATGAAAGAAGAGAACCAGCTTCAGTCATCGCCAGCTCAGTAAAAGACATCATGAGCTGATAT